TATAAAACTGTTTACAGTTTTAGTAAAAGAACATTAGAGCAGAAGAACTTCTTGTGTTGGTGTCTCTGTTAGGAGTCTATATATATATATATATATATATATATATATATATATATATATATATATATATATATATATATATATATATATATATATATATATATATGCATGTTGACAATAACTTTCATAGAGGTCGTTGTCCGGTTGAAGGTCAAAAAAATTTGAGTTTTGTTCACATCAGTGAACCAAAAATACATATTTCCCTTCACACTATTTAGATTTCCTATAACCAATCCCAGCCGGCTAAAAAGTTGGATAACAGCAATGAAATTGGCAGACTGGATGCCAACCAAATATTCAGCATTGTGCGAGAAACAACTTACACCCCAAAACTGTATTAACCCATTAAGTCGCATTGTGTCCTGATGTGCCCTACTTTATTATTTTATTTTGTCTAACAGCATTACGGCAGATGATTTTACTTGTGAAGGGGAGAGTGTTGGTACTTAATGGGTTAACTAGCCATGGTTCATTTTAACCCATTGAGTCGCACCCTACTTTATTATTTTACTCCAACACGAGATAATTTTACTTGTCAAAGGGGGAGTGCTTACTGCTGGGTTAGTAAGGGAAAGCAATTAATAAAAGGCCAATCCAAGAAATAGCTGAACGAATATGCTGTCCCATCTATTTTTGATTTATATCAATGATGAATCAATCAGATTTCTTGGAGAAAACTAGATATACTGTGAAGGTTTTTGATGCATACTAGACAAATTAGTCAGTTTCTTCAAAATAGTTTCCATTGAAATATTTTGCTGTCTCTAATTCTCTTTAAAATCCTGATTTGATTAATCACTTTTCATTGTCCAGGCCATATAGACTTGGGATCCCTTGAAATCTGCAGCAGCAAGGAGGTCATCAAAGTCACACTAAAACACTTGTAAACAGAGCATCATAGTTTTCGCACCAGCAGACCAGGTAAATCAAGCAAAATAGGTTTTAAACTTCAAAATACTTCACAATATTATTCCCTGTTATATATCCCAACCGAGATCCTCGAGAAAAAAGCACCCAAAGAACCAAAACCTTTAATTTCTGCAATAAAATGTCTCGAACTGCTCAACCGACCATGCGATGATTTTCAGAAAACATTTAGCGATTGATTATTTCGTCTTTATTCAACTTAAATTGTACAAATATTCATCCAGAACCTTCACACCAGTTAGTTCTTCCCCCAAAAAGGTGGTTCAACAGGATCGGAAACAGTAGGCAGGCGTGAAATGTGAAAAACATGGTTTTTCCCTATCTCGCTCTATGATTTTTGAGCCGCCATTTTGAATGCTCATGTTGGCGCGTCGCGTGCGTAATAGAATACATTACAGTCAGCAATCTAGTTCTCCTATATCTACGCAGCCAAGCCATGGCCATCTTGGACTTACCACTAGATCACAGCCATTCACTTCCAAATTTTCTTTATTTCCTAGTTTTTGTATTTTTCTACAGCATTGGACTCATTCTCAATACCCCATTGTAGAGAAACTGGCATACGAGAACTGTGGCATTTAGTTTTCGGCCTTTCGTGCTCCTATTCGACTTTTCCGCTTTGGTCGTGGACAACCTTAATTGAAATAGCTGTATCCTCTTTGGTGACAGTCTGGGTATAAGGTGGTGTGCTACAATACTTTTCCCTCATAGTACTTGAATGCAGTCTTGTATTTGTCTTTCTGTATTGTGCTTTCTGAAACAACAGCTCGTCAAACCTAACAGCTTTGTTCAATGTTTTACGGCAGCCAGAAGGAATACCCCACTTTTGAGCGACTTGTACACACGTAAGGTCTACAGGAATCATACTTAAACCCAAGTTAACAAAATCCAATATATTGTAAAGCAAAGCAGCAACGTGTTTACAACAGCCACCTTGCCCTGCTTTACAAGTGCACTTTGCATAATTGAATTCGCTACTCTTCTGGTCTAAATGAACATAAACAGGGTAACTTACACTCTTCATGGACGCACTAACTCGAGCTTTCACCAGAAGTAGTTGAATTTTCATTGCACGTTTGCCTTGACTTGAACATGATATAGCTATTGACATAACTTTCTTTCCAAAGACCGTATCCTTTCTTCATGTTCCTATGAGCCTTTGGTGCTACTTTGTCAGGCATTGTGCGGCTGTTGTTTACCATTTTACTTTCTAATTTTTGGTGGGTGAACGCAGGAATATCTTTCAGTAATTTTGTCCATCCTTTGATTTCGCTGTGCGGAAAACCTGCAGCATCGTCGTCTAAATTAACTTCGTCTAGTCTGAACATATTAACAATCGGCGATATCGGTCGAACTTCAGCGGACTCACTACGGCATACATCCTATCCAGAGGCTGCCATTTTTGTTTGAACATGACCTTGACCACCCGTACAAGAGTTCTTAGAAGAACTAGGGTCACCAAGAATATCATTTTCAGAAAAGGCACATGAAGTATCGGTATTTCCAGCTGCCAATCCCGACATTTTTAATGCTTGGAAGTTAAGGAATTTGACTACTAAGACCAGAATTCAGAGCGCGCGTTAACCTTTATCACTTCATAAGGCGTAATATAAGGTCTGTTATACAGTAGAAGACCGTGCCGCCTGATCGCGTGTATATTATTTTGGCATGTACATGTTAATAAAAAATATTACAAACTAATGTTCTTTGTGATTTATTTCCGAAAATGTATGAACAATTGAAATGTGGGCACAAAATTTACATGTAGGCCAAAAAAACGGCTTAATTTCTATATTAACAATCCTCAATTTGAAATTCAGCGATTTCTACTCCTACTCTATTTCTAATCATTGGATCCCTAACCTACACCTAATCTAAACCATAATCTAAATCATAATCAAACCCTAAACGAAATCCTCGTCCTAATCCTAATTCTAACCCTAATCATTGAGGGATGCTAATATGCAAATCACTCCGAAAAATAGAAGCCAAACCTTCCAAGATTGATTAAAAAAAACAGATTTAAGAGCGAGCTGGGAGAATTTCTAATAGGAGAATAAAGGTTTTCTGCTGAATTGTGTGTTACCCCCATTGCAGGCAACAAAAATCCGAATTTTGGTTTGATGACCATATTTGGCGTACAATTCGATAGAGTGTATCATTCTATAACAAGTGTACGAGATTTTTAGGATTTCGAGAATCTTTTGGGATGTCTCAGGGATTTTTTTTAATTTTGTTTTGGGATTTGTCAGGAATGTAAAGATATTTTTAGGATTTGTTGGGATTGTTAAAGAATTTCAGGATTTTTTTCGATTTTTTAGGGATTTCATACGGATTTTTTTTCTGTTTGTTTTAGGAATTTATTTCAAAGGTGTACAAGACTCTTAGTGGGACATAAACGGTCACACACAACCACAAACGGTCACACATGTACCTAAACTGTTACACACGGTCATGAACGGTCAGACATGGTCACTTATGGTCACAAACTGTCACACACGGTCTCACATGGTCATAAGCGGTCATACACGGTCGCACACACAACCGCAAACGGTCACACATGTTCCCAAACGGTCAGACATGGTCAATAATGCTCACAAACGGTCAGACACTGTCTCACGCGGTCACGAGCGGTAAGATACAATAACAAACTGTAATACAAATTTAGAAACAGTCACACATGGTCACAAACGGTCACACATAGTCACAAACGGCCACGCACTGCTATACACTGCCACAAACGACCAGACACGGTTCCACATTGTCGGCAACGGAGAACATGGAGTGGAATATTGTCAAAAGAAACGCACGCTCGCTATTGGATGTTGTAAAGGATATCACGATTAATTTCATGGTCACGTGCCACAAACTAAGCTTCCTGATTGGACAATTTGAAGTTGAGGTATAATATTTTTCACTAATTCTGTTATACACCGGCTTTCATGAAATATTCCATTTCTGTCCACATTACAAAGATTAATATTGAGGATTAAACTGCTGGATATTTAGCGTTAAAGTTTGGATAATTTATGGATAATTTGCGTAAGGATTGCATGCCATTGCTCAGAAGTTTATGGCTAAGGATATCAGAGATTCAGATTAGAGAAAGGTGAAACCTATGGCGCGATTCGATCGCGTTCGAGGATCGATATTTTGACAATATTTTACCGAGCCGACGGCGCTAAGCGCCGTGTGAGGGTACTAATATCCCCGGGTATTTACACTCGGGGAAACGAAAGCATTAGCGAAGTCTAAAGTTCATCAATTATCGCGGGCGTGGGTGACCAACGGTGTTGGGTAGGTGATCATCCTCACTGATCTGAAAAATATGGTGGACCGTCACGAATAGCGGACACTGATTGGTCCAATTTAAAGTTTGCATTATAACGACTGAATGACGACAGCGAAATAGCGAACATTCCTTAATTTGATGATTGATAAATTTCTTGCAAATATATTTCATTTTGGTATTTTGCGAAACGAAACGAACGAAACTGGAATTTGCGAAACGGGACTTTGCGAAACGGGACTTTGCGAAACGGGAATTTGCGAAACGGGAATTTGCGAAACGACAATTTTGCGAAACGACAACTTGCGAAACAGGAATATCTCTTATACCATTTGTTTTAATTTATTTATCTTTTCTATAAATCTAGATCTTATCGTGATTTCCGTGAACCCAAATGAAATAGTTCAATGAATCACGTGACATTTTTCCAAACGACGGGAAATCAAACAATTTCAAGGCAATTCTTTTAACTGTGCAGCAATCCATGAATACCAGTTCCAAAAGTGTCACTATTCTCTGGAGTTTGGGTACTGGTCGAGTGTCGATATGTCGAGGTCGAGGGTTATAGGTCGAGGGTCAAAAGTCGAGGTTCGAAAGCCGAGGTCGAGGGTCGAAATCCAAGAGTCGAAAATGGGAAATATTAGTTTTTTATTAAACATTTCCAGTATACTACATTTTTGGCATTTGTTGTCAAAATAAGTAAAGATTCTCCTGTCGATAACTAATTTTATTACTGTTAGTAAAGAACATGCCTTAGGGCATGATTAGGTTCCTTTTTGTTTTTCGAGAAAGTGTAAAATCACTAAAACTATTCGAGAATGTACGGTGCCGGTGGGGTGATTCGAAAATATATTGTATATTTATTGTACTATCAGAACGAATCGGGTCCCAGCGCAGCAAAAATTTCTCATAATGGTCGTGAGATAATTCTGAACCGAACTAAAATCACCCTGTTATAAAGATTCGTGCTTCGTGCTTGTTATTTTTGACAGAATAACGAAAGAAAGTTTCCATTTTATTACAATACAACTATATTATATTATGAATATCAAACTGTTAATCGAACATGTACACTTCTGGTGGAGAGATGTAAACACGATGTTAAACTGTAAAATATATAAATATCAACTGTTTCTCGCACACCCTAACGCTTTAAACTTCCAAAACCATACGCGGTTTGAAAAGTATCGTTAAGTTGAAGTTCTGAGAATTTCAGAACTCTTTCGCCTCCAAGTCCAAGTAACATATTACCAATAGGCTATAATCAGTTTCTCATGAAAGTGAAACGCCATTTTTGTATAATCGTCCGTGTTTGTATATTTTAAACTCCAGTGTACTGATAAAAGATGTATGCTTTCAAACATCAAACCTCGGATCAGACTTTTAGTTCCACAAACGAAACTTTCAGTTATACAGTAGGGGGCCAACAGTACATAACCATACGGCATAGCCATAGGCGAAATTTTTCAGCGTTGACAGCAAAACTAGAATTGTTTTGCCGCGTCTAATGGTTGTAAAACTTTTAAAATGGATAAAAATTTAGTACTGTCGACTTTCGACCCTCGATTTTTGTCCTTCGACCTCGACTTCCGAACCTCGACCATTACCCAAACTCCTATTCTCTATATTAAAATTCGACCAAAATTACTACATGAATCCCGAAATAGACCTTTATAAAAAGGTTGACGTCAGCAGGCTTGTAACGTAGTTTGTGGAGAAAATCCCGAAAGCTCAGAGTTGTTTACTTGTTTTGAGTTTTTTAAAAGCCAAAAAAAGCCAGTATAATGGTAAGTTTGAAGTAAATATTTCTATATATAGGCCAAATGAGTTTTCATATTCGTCGGAGTTTAAATTTTATTTGTTTTTATATTAGTTTTGCATTTATTTTACTGTCAACGTTTGGCAAATTGTTCACTCGGTTTGTTTACATATTTCGTTGCTAAAAAGTATATTTTTTCGTTTTTGTTTCTCAAATTCATCAGTCTAATCATCAGAATGGCCCAACCTGGCAAAACATTGATAGAAAATTAAAGCTAGATTGTTGACCCAGACACGGAAAGTGTTATACATGATTGATAAAAGCTACTTGTCATGTATGTTCACTTCAACTATAATCTATATCGATAAAATAATAGACTTAGAGTTAGAGCTTTGTTTATATGTCTAAGTTCACTTAGGCTTTAACTCTTTGCACCATCACTGAGCCTATGTATTGCTGTCTACAGCTTGATTGAGGCCATTCTGGTAATTAGACTGATGAATTCAAGAAACAAAAAAGATTAAATATACTTTTTAGCAACGAAATATGTAAACAGACCGAATGTTTGCTAAATGTTGACTGTAAAATAATGTACAATCTAATATAAAAAAAAATAAAATTTAAACTCCGACGACTATGAAACTAATTTGGCCTATATATAGATAAATTTACTTCAAACTTACCCTAATACTGGCTTCTTTTGGCTATAAAAAGACTCAAAACAAGTAAACAACTCTAAGCTTTCGGGATTTTCTCCGCAAATTACGTCACAAGCCTGCTGACGTCAACCTTTTTATAAAGGTCTATTACATCATTGTAACCAATCTTTTATTATTAAATTTCAATACAGAGTGTGCAGTGAGTGTGCCCGCGAGTTGCTGCGCTGACTTGCGCAGACTCTGTATATTAACTATGCTCTTGTAATGTTCGTGGTTTTGTATCAATATCAAGCACTTTTAAGTATAACAATAGATATCAAACAACTTGTACAACCAATTACTTCCCGGTTCCCTAGCCTCGTGCTTCTAAAAATACTTAACTAATTTTCTAGTCACGTGTGTGCTAGTGTCAATAATGTCAACATTGCATCCCTCCCTTGATTTAAATATGAACTCTAGTACTAACTATAACAAAATATGCATATAATGTTTAAACTGTATCTTATCTGTTTTAGTCCAG